TTAATTTCCACTCGTGGCAATAATCACTGCTTGACCGTGTGTTGTGGATGTCTCTGTTAGTTGCGTGGTTTCACTCTTCTCATCGGCTGTAAGCTCTGTTGAGAACACAGTCTGTGCCTGTTTGTTTACTCCAGTATTCCCAGTACCTGAAGACTGGTTCAGTGAGCCGCTACTTTCTGCGCCCAACAGATCCGACGCATCCAGAAACGTACACACAGGCAAGCCTCAAACTTTGGGGTGGAAAAGAATCGGCTGGAAAAACAGAAAGAGGCCCTCGGTGGGGCAGCAGAGTTAAGGTGGGTTGGCAGGAGAGTGAGGAGGTAACGAAAAAGAAGGAAATAAGAGGCACTTAGCGTGGGTGCCTTTGAGAACCCGGGCGAGAAGCCACGCCGAAGCTCGCGTGCCTGAGCGTCCTGGCGTGACCGCGATGTGAGCCTGTCTGCAACAGGGGTGATAGTGCCCACCTCACACTGTGTGCACAGGTGCCCCGGTGCCCCGGAAGCAGAGCCTGTCCAGAGGCATGTCAGAAACAAACCCCAGCTGCTGACCAGGAGCTGCCCTCAGCAGTACCTACCTGGCCACAACCAGACGGCAGAGACCCACGTCGGGCCTGGCACCCCAGAATTAGACCGAGGAACTTTAGAAGGGGCGCTGCCAACGTCAACTTCCTGGGCAACAGATTCAACACGGGAATCAAATGGCACTGATCATTTATTGCAGGAGAAGCGGAGAACCGGACATGACCCGAAGCAGAGGACAGAGAGACCCCCTGGGCCGCAAAGGCCCAAGAAAGGCATGGGGACAGAGGGGCTCACACCTGGCCAGGGGGAAACCTCCTACGTAGATGCGTTATCTCTGCACTGGGGGCAGCGACCCAATGATAAATGGCCAAGAAGGAGGTCACCGAGGGCACTCGTGACCGGACTTCCCACAAAAGAGCGTGCACCACCCGGACCACAGGGACAGGGGACGGCTCAGGGACTGGGGCTCCAGAGGAAGCACTTCAAGGCTGGGACAGGGTGGGGGCGGGCAGGGAGTGGGGGTGGAGCAGACGGGTTCTGCAGCTTTCTGCACACAGCCCTTCATCTCGAGGCCTTTTTGGTTGCACAGCTGCTGCCTGAGGTCTTGGGCAGGGGATCCTTGAACTCGCTGCCGCAGTTGCCTTTGGTTTTGACGTCCACGGCCGCGGGTTTAAAGCCATAACTGCTCGAGGCGCCGAAGCCCACGCTGAAGCCAGCCCCTCCTGCCCCAGCGCCAGTGCTGCTGATCACAGCTGGAACAGGGGGGAAGAGAAGACCCCTGGCCTGTGGCATCCCGGCCACTCCTTCAATTCCCTCCCCCTGGGGACAGATTCTCTCTGCAGTGTGCTTTTAGTTTACAAAGAGGTTTTCAGCAGCACTGATCATTTTTCAAGTATTTGGCCGCACGTATTAGACCCTGTCCTATCGGTCTGCGTCCATCCACCAGCGACACACTTAGAGCTCCAGCGAGCTCTGGCAGGGACCTTCCCCCACAGGAACAAAGACCCTTCGGTGCGGCCCCCAAGGAAGGGGCTGCTGGAGTACCCC